GGGGGGGGGGGGTGTACTCATAGCCAGCCGTGCTTGCCGTAGCCGTTGGACCCCTGACCTTGCACCCCTACAAACGCCAAGCGCCAGGCGCCGTGAGAGGCATTTGGCGAGTCGCATGGAGGGTGCGCTTCATCTCGCTTTCGGGTGTTCGCCCACCTTGTTGTGCTTACTTCATTGCATGAAAGGGGGGATTGGGGACAACGCTCTGGTCGGCTTCACACGCTTGGCGGAGTCCGGGGGGCGGGGCAAGGGCTGGACATCACTCGCTTGACCCACGTGTCATTGGCGGCGGTTATTTGTGTCTCCCTCGATCGTTACAAGCGTCTCGTTGTGCGTCCGAGTAGATAGACGCATCTCGTAACTGGCCCTCCGATAATTCCGAGCTACAGCGCTGGCGTGAAGATTTGCCGATTTCCACCGTGAAGCAGTCACTTGGAAGTGAGGTGTCATGCCTGGAGAGAGCAATTAATTCTGCCCCCTGCCTGGTCGCGCTATTATTGTTACTGTTCGCTACGCGATGTTTTCTTCTGCTGCAGCCGGCTGGCTTTACGCCTGGGTTAATGCTTTCATCTCGACAATCCATCATTGCAAAGGAAGGCTACGTAGGCCTGTTCTTTCTGTCTGCCCATGGCCGGCCCTCTTTGGTATTGTGCTTCGTTCTCATCAGTGTATTCTGAATGATTGGGAGCATTTCGTGTTCGGGTGGCTGTCGTTTGATTTGTGTCACACATTTTTTTTCATGTTTGTTTTCATGTCTAGTCTACCGTATCTATTTAGTCTATGGATAGATGTGTTTCACTACTGTATTTTTTTTTCTGGGGTCTGCGTCTGTCTCCGATACTACTGTATTTCTGTGTGGGTCCTCTGTACTCGCGTGTTCGATGCGAGCAAAACCCCTTCACTATGTCCAACAAGGCTTGGCAACATATATTTCTGGCACTACGAACATGCAAGTGGGCGCAGGTCTGCCGAGTGCGTGATGAGCCGCTGGTGAGATACAATGTATTGGAGGCGTCGCGGCAATCCGGCAACCCGAGCATCCCAGGCGAAAAACCCACTGAATGAACCGTCCTAATGAATATGATCCCTGTCACAACACAATTTTTGAACACGACCATGAGTGGCCGTTGTTACTGCTGTCAGAGAGAGGCGATCGTCGGCAATACAGAACGGGCCCATAGTTCTCATGCAAGTAAAGTGCAAGCACGTCAGTTCACGTAGATAATAGTATGTATGTGTAGCACATACTACAGACTATTAGCAGGCAGCATATTGTAGCAGCCACAACACTGGCTGGCGTGTTCATCATGTACCCCGAACGAACCACAACGACCTCTTCTAGACGACACAAAAGGGTCCGGTAATACATAGTCTACATACAATCAAGACCCTCAAGTGGAACGGTGGGGCAGCGGCGCAGCGGCAGACATTGGCAGACACGCAGACACGTATCCGAGGTGGGAGGGGACGGCAGCCCCGGTTTTCTGAAGAAGGCGTTTTGTTTTTACACAGTCTCGCGCGCGTGTGGGTATACGAAAAATTAGGAGAAACAAATATACGAAAAAATAGACCAGTCTAGATATGGTTCGCATCAACACATCAACACTCTATTTTGACTTGCTTGCTCCACGGCAACAAGTCCACCTCGCCTCAGGGATAATACCGTCGTATCTCCCGCGTCGGCGGACCGCTTCTCCTGGTGCTTACTTCCCTTGCGTGAGATCATCACCCCCACCACGTGATTTATCGATCACAACCAATGCTATTACACCACCATACGGCGTCTTCGTGTGAACGATGGACGACAACGGTGAGATCATGTTACTGTGTTTTTTTTGGGTGCATGTATAGGCATAAGGTGGCCACATTTTGATGAGATGATGAACAGGCACAGGAACTGCTCCGACGGCTTACCTCTTGCCGCGTAGTCAAGCCCGTGCACACTGAGCACACAAACACGTCATACGTCTAGCCAAAGTGTATTTCCCTTTGAAGAGAGGGGAGAGGCGCATCTAATATCTGTCTCGGTTGGGGGCATCGTTGATTGGTGATGTTGGTACATTGGTCTGTGGGGAAGGGCAGCTCGGCCAGTGAGGACCGAGATGGGAAAGTCTTGTATTAGAGGGGAGAGGAAAGCTGAGTCCCACACCGACCGTCACGCATTTCCGATCATCAATCGAACTCCGAAGAAACCTAATCTAGAAAGAAAGTAGGAACTCCCTGTTCCTCCGCAATAGAGTCTATACTTACAACGATCTTCGTAGATCCATGCCCCCTATTCATCCATAGTAATATAACTACGAGTATTCTAATGGGCGAACTCGCCCCTCAAACAAATGTGGACTTTGTACAGGAGCTCGTGTTCGCTCCGGGTGATGATGGATGCTCGGTAAAAATGCTGCTCCATTTGGTGCTTTTCATGTTGAGATAGTCTAATCGTGCACCTCAAGTCTCATTTCATTGGTACAGCTGTATGTATTTGGTTGACCTCCCGTATCCACACGGGCAGTTTGCCTCTTGTGTTTGGACTAATCGTACACCTCAAGTCTCATGTCATCGGTATGTATGCGTGGTTAGCATCCCGTGCCCACACAGAGAGGCAGTTTGCCTTTAACGAAGCAAAACAACATTGCTGTACTCAACAACCATCAACGATGTTCTCAAAACCACCCCGGAACGCACACAAGGAGATTGATTATCAGGCCACGTCCCATGAGAAAAATCAAACCGGACTGTTCGCAGGCTGATACTTTGAAGATGATTGTATGGATCGCTTCGATTGCGGCAGGAAAGAATCACAGAATCACGATGCCGACTCCTTGCAACTGTAGCGCGTCGGAGTACATAAAACTTCAAGAAAGTGTGACAGAGCCAGGCGAGAAGGTGGTGTGTGTTTCTGCGGGGTGTATGAGGCAAATCGTTGGGTAGGCTTGTCGACGGGGAAATGCCCTATGCAGTGCAGAAACACATCGAACGCATGCCTGTGACGATTATCCGACCGTGTCGCAGTTCAAGTTTGTCTGAGCGCTGACGGCGAGCCTATGATGTCGCTCTCAAGTTTTGACGGTTCCTCCTGTGGTCATTTTACCTCCTACCTTCATCACCATGTGTCCTAAACAGGGTGCCAACCTTTCGTCCCTGTTCATCATAGAATATCGCCTCTCCATGCACATACAAACATGCCCTTTTGTGCAGGGAACCACAACCGGTGCCTCGATGCCTTTATCGTTGCCTTCGGCCAAGTGTACAACACGGGCGAACGTGTATGGTACACATCAGCGCTGGAACTACAGCTGGCGTCACTAGACTTCTGCCGTGTCGAAACGTACCGACGCTACTGCGCATTCTCGTCGGGGAGGGAACCCCGGACAGCCTTTTGAATGTACTGGCGGAAGAGCAACAACAACATCCGGCGTCCAGCCACCAGGGTCGCGGCTCGAGTCGTTTGCCTTTCGTGCGGGCGAATCGAGTGAAAATGGTGATTCCCGATGGGATGCTTGCCCAAAACCTCCATAAAATGCACAAGTGGACAGGAGTCGAGGAGCTGCATGTCGTCGACTTTTCCCCCGGACCCGAAGTGGGCACGATGGTGGTGCCTCCAAACTTGAAGAGGCTCAAACTGCATAGTTTTGGGCTACTTCTTGAGTGCCTGTGGCCGGCTTCGCTTCACCGACACGAGCTTGTTGGCTTTGACCACTCTATCGCCCAGGTAGTGTGGTCAGCGTCTCTGCAACATCTTTCGCAAGGAAACCACTTCAACCAACCCGTTGTCGGAGTGTGGCCAGAGTCTATCCAACAGCTATCGTTCGGAAATTGCTTTAATCAGTCCATTGTTGGAGCTACGTGGCCATCGTCTCTGCACCAGCTTTCGTTCGGAAAAGTCTTCAATCAGCTCATTGTCGGAGTGGTGTGGCCGGCGTCCCTGGAACAGCTTACGTTCGGAGATTGCTTCAATCAGTCCATTGTTGGAGTTACGTGGCCATCGTCTCTGCAACAGCTTTCGTTCGGAAATGCCTTCAATCAGCCAATTGTCGGGGTGGTGTGGCCGGCCTCCCTGGTGAAGTTCAACCTCGGAGGCTGGTTCAACCAGCCCATTGTCGGAGTGGTGTGGCCAGCGTCCCTGGAACAGCTTACGTTCGGACATTTCTTCAATCAGCCAATTGTCGGAGTGGTATGGCCTGCCTCCCTGCTGAAGTTGGACCTCGGGCGTTGGTTGGATCAGCCCATTGTCGGAGTGGTGTGGTCGGCCTCCCTGACGGAGTTGGACCTCGGGTACGCGTTTAACCAACCGATTGCCGCAGAGGTGCCGGCAACGTCCACGCAACACCTGTCATTTGGAGAACACTTCAACGAGCCCATTCAACCTGTGGTGTGGCCGGCCTCCGTGCGGATGATGGACTTTGGGCGCACGTTCAATAGACGCATTGCCAGAGTAGTGTGGCCTGCCTCTCTGCAGCAGCTTTCTTTCGGGTATTCATTCAATCAGTCCATTGTTGGGGTGGTGTGGCCAGCCACCCTGCAAAAGCCTTCGTTCGGATATTGCTTCAATGAGCCCATTGTCGGAGTGGTGTGGCCAATGTCTCTTCGCCAGCTTTCGTTCGGATATTGCTTTAGTAAGCCTGTTGCCGGAGTGATGTGGCCAGCGTCTCTGCAACAGATTTCGTTCGGAGATCGCTTCAATCAGCCCATTGTCAGTGTGGTCTGGCCTTCCTCGCCGCTGAAGTTGAACCTCGGCCGCGAATTCAACCAACATGTTGCCGGAGTCGTGTGGCCAGCGTCTCCACAACAACTCAAGTTTGGGAGCGTTTCAAACACCAGATCGCCGGAGTAGGGCATGGCCAGGTCCCTTAAAACACCTGGAGTTTGGTCAACGTTTTAGCCAACCGATTGCCGGCGTTCGCGTATGGCCTCCACGCCTTTAGGTTTTCCAGCTTGGGAGAAAAAGTGACAGTTCTTTGTCGGGAGTCCGTTGGTCGGCTTCCCTCGTTAGCTTGAATGCAGGGAAACTACTGTAGGTGGCGTGAAAAAAAAACGAAGACCTTCGCTATGACTGGTTTGATCCTGATCACAATAATAGTACCTTCGCCGCACAACCTGTAGGGATCGTGATGGATATCCAGCATTACGAATGCTGTGTAAATGTTTCGGCACGTCTTGGCCGCTTTTGGGCAGTGCACCACGAGCGGAGCTAGACATTTGTTCTTGTGTGGTCGATTTGCGCTGTTGCGTCGTAATTGTTTTGGGTAGTGCCCCTTTCGACACCGGTGTCGTAATTTAGTGTTTTTCGCTCGAAGCGAATCGAAACCATCTTCGCTGCGTTCCCACGAGCCGCAGCTGTCCACAAGATTTCGTTCGGCCCAGCGCGACCCGCGGTAGCCGAGATAAACCCAAGAAGAAGGCCACCGCACCACTTCGGCGGTAGGTGACCGTATCTATGGCACGGCTCGAAGCTTGTTGGGGAATCATATGCAATGGGCAATAAACCACCTGCGATGAGCTGCCACGGTCCCTAGCTGTCACACAAGCCGTCATTCGACCCAAAACCGACACGCCGATATATGTCCAAGAATGAGGCCACATGTTGCCCTTCTTGAGAGGGCGTGCTTGGCCGGAGTCGTGTGGCCAGCTTCCCTGCGAATCTTGCTCATGTCGGTCACTTCTTCCCTATCGTTCCAAAAACAAATGTAGATGGCGCCCGCGCTTGAGAACCTCTATTTTTTGTCGAGGCTGGGGTTCATAATTCCTCGTTCCTCTTATGGGCTACAAATGGCCGCCATAGATGACTTTGTGCGGGGTTTGTCGGCTGTGTTCGATCACGAATCTCCCCTCGAGCACAAAATTTCTTTGCGCCCGATATATGGGAATTTATTTAGTCTGAGGAACTTGGCTTTGCAAAATAGGCTGATGAACCTCTTATACCGATGTGATGTCCGTGCAAGACAGCGCTGATCACAGGGATGGCACCCCTGGGGGGACGTGTTTGTGGCTGCACAGCTAGCCGGACACGGGCATTAACCTTTGTTGAGAAGCACGATGACCACTACACCACTAGTCAGCGCTGATTATCAGTGCTTCTCTTCACGGCGCTCAAGTGAATGTATTTGATCTAGTCTTGGACATGATGTTCTGCCGAGTTCTCCAGTGCGGGCGCGTCTGTATCAGAGCCAGTCGCAAGTAGGAACAAGTGCAAGGAAGGGCGGCAAATGTGGGAAAATAATCTATGGAACAACGAGGAACGGCGGCTAATCGTCACACTCCGCAAGTGTAGTGGTCAGTAGAAGTCGTGAGAGAGGATGCTGACAAGGTCAACAACGAACACACCGATCGTGGACTCGACCCCGAAAACGATGCCAACAAACGAGCTGTTACGCCGAGAGCACAGCTTGTGCGTTGATCCAACGTGTCGTCCTTGGACACCCTTGAGGTTGACACGTGGCACGGGTGTGGGTGCGGTGAAGCAAGATGGTACACAACCTTCGTCCGCCTTGAACCGAGTCACCACATCCGTTCAGGTCGTCGACTGCATTGTCCCGAGGAAGCGAAGCATCGACGCCGCGAGCACGACGGTGGTCGCCCCCAGAGAATATCCTGCCGCCAAAGGATCTCCGACCGAGGATGAAGCCGCATGGGCGACACCCGGCAATGGCTGCGCCGACATCGGGGGCACACGCACCCGCGCCGGCTGCAGCAAAACCGGACGTCATGCGGCGGGTTTGCTGGTAGTCGAACAGTACGCTGGGCCGGCGATCCGCTTCCTAGCGTCCATCTTTGCTGCAATCGGTGAGGATGTGCTTGTGTCCAACTGGGCAGCCATTGCCCCCAACGCCCATCGTTCCGTTTTTTGGATCGAAGCCGTGTCGTCGGCGGAGGGAGTAGGTCGGGGTGCGGTCGCTATCTATCGTGCTCGTGGCGTCGATGGCCCGTTTGTTCAAGGCCTTCCCGTCATCACCCGGAACGCCTGTCGTGCCCCAATGCAGCAGGGTTGACGAAGGCTGTGTAGTGGAAGAAGAGGAAGGAAACGAGCAGCGAGAGAAACAGGAGTTTGTGTGATTCGTGTTCGACCACGATAACTTAGGCTATCAAATGGCGCATATGTCTGCTGTAGGCGATGGACCCAAAACAATTATCAAATTTCAATGGTACATGCATGCTACACCGGCTCCGATGGGAGCGGTAAACTCACACGGATGAGATATTTTGTCTTTTGAAAGGGTTCCAAGGAACTCCACCAAAAAAGGGGACCCATGACAGCAACACGTATTACAGCGGTTACGACGACGTCACCAGCACTTCCAGCTACTACGATGACGACAGCAAAATGTATTATAGCGCTTACGATGACGTCACCAGCACTGTTCGCGAGGACGACGAGGCCACGACCATCACTGTTAACGGGGACGATGGCGTCACCAGCACTTCCAGCTACTACGATGACGTTACCAGCCTTGTTAGCGAGGACGATGGCGTTACCAGCTCTTCCAGTTACTACGATAATGGCCGCAAAACGTATATTAGCGATAACGATGAAGTCACCAGCACTTCCAGTTGCTACGATGACGACAGAAAAACATCTAATAGCGGTTACGATGATGTCATCAGCACCGTGAACGAGGACGATGAGGTCATCGGCACTTCCAGCTACTACGAGGAGGTCACCAGCACTGTTAGCGAGGACGATGGCGCCACCAGCACTCCGGGCAAGGACGAAGATAACTCTGGCGACGACGATAGCTCTGACGATGATTCTGATTGCGACAGCTCTGACGGCGAAAGCTCTGACGATGATGTGCTTGGTCAGGGATATGGCGTCGCGGGGGTTACGGCTTCGCAATAGTGAGCGGCAGCAGGAACGCGTCTACTGCAG